ATAAATGATTTTTTCCGAAAATTTCTACCAAAAATTTGTATTTATTTCATTCAAAAATATATACTGAACAAAATGTGAGCAATAATAAAATTAAACTCAAAGTATTTTACAAGATATAAGAGTTTCCCCTAAGACTGCTTTAAGGAGATAATTTCGGCTTATAAATAGTTCTTAATTTCGGCAGTGCCGAATTTGCCGACCTGTTGTTTCTCCAAAACTAAAATGGAAATAAGCGCTTTAAATATTATGTATAGAAGAAATTGATTTTAGTAACTTAGATAATAGTAAACTAATAACGAGCTAGTAAAAAAGTGAATTTAGTTAGTGACACTGTGAAACTTATCAAAATAAGAGTTCCCTACAATATATTTTAAATTTATGTCATACATAACAATATGTATATAATAAATTTATAATTTGTTTATAATTTGTTAATAATATACATATAATAATAATAATAATAATAATAATAATAATAATAATAATAATAATAATAATAATAATATATATACATTTATATAAATATATATATAAATATATATATATATATATATATATATATATATATATATATATATATATATATATATATATATATATATATATATATATATATATATATGTATATATATATATATATATATATATATATATATATATATATATATATATATATATATATATATATATATATATATATATATATATATATATATATATATATATATATATATATATGTAAACATTATTTTACAGCATCATATAATGAGTTCGAAACGTGTAAAATATGGTAATTGGTCACAAGAATCATTAAAAATGGCAGTAAATGCAGTTTTAGTTGATGGTTGCTCGGAATATTCTGCTGCTAAACAATATAAAATACCAAGACAAACACTACATGACTATGTAAAACGAGCACCTGTTGATAATTTTGTTAAAAAGTTATGTGCAGGACACCCAACAACACTCTCAGCTTTTCAAGAAAAAGAGCTCGTAGAAGTTCTTCTGACCATGTCACAGAGATTGTTTGGTTTGTCTCCAAAAGATGTAAAACAAATGGTATTTCAGTTTTGTGAAGAAAATAGAATTATTCACAAATTTAATTGTGAAACTAAGTCAGCAGGAAAAGAATGGTTTAGGGGTTTTTTGAAACGCCATAATGAACTCTCTGTCAGAGTTGCTGAGTCAACGTCATTGCATCGAGCCATTGGTTTTAATAGAATAAAAGTTAATCGTTTTTACAATGAACTAGAAAAAATAATGTTTAATGTTAATGGGATGCAGATTATTCCACCATCAAACTTATTCAACGTAGATGAATCTGGATTGTCTATTTGCCATAAACCAGGAAAAGTTGTTGCTCTTAAGGGAAAACACAGTGTTGGTGGCTTAACAAGTTCCGAAAGAGGTAAAACAATCACAATAGTTTGTTGCCAATCAGCAAGCGGGTTTTTTGTCCCTCCAATGTTGATCTATCCACGAATTCGAGTGAAACCTGAATTTTTAGATAAAGCCCCAATAGGTTCTATTTCTGGTGGCAGCAAAAATGGCTGGATAACAACTGAGTTGTTTGAAATATGGTTTGATCATTTTTTACAAGCAGTCCAGCCTCAGTCAAGAAACCAACCAGTTCTTCTAATTTTAGATGGACATTCAAGTCATAAAAAAAATCTTAGTGTTATTAAAAAAGCGCGCCACTCAAATGTTATTATTTTATCACTTCCATCCCACTGCACCCACAAACTGCAACCACTTGATGTTTCGTTTTATAAAAGCCTCAAAATATTCTATGATCAGGAGGTTAGTACTTGGCTTTGTCACCATCCTGGTCGTCTCGTAACTGAACTAGAGGTTGGTGAATTATTTGGAAAAGCCTATGGGAAAGCTGCAACTGTTCAAAATTGTCAGTCAGGGTTCAAAAAATGTGGAATATATCCATTTGATAGAAATGTGTTTACTGAAGAAGACTTTGCTGCAGCCAAGGCTACTGATCACTCGTATGTTGTCTCAAAAATTTCAAAACCAAATAATACCTCTGAAATGCACCCTACTCTCAACAATGGGTTAGACTCTGCTAAAAAATTAGATAATATTGATTTTGTTACAGATTATGTTATTGACACTCAAAAAGGTAAATCGTCATAAATGTTGTATTATTTTTAACATCTTTCGCATTTTATTTAAAATACAAATATGATTTTTTTTAAATCAAGCAAAATATTAACTTGTTTGTTGTTTTATTAACCTAAAAAAAGGTTTCTTAAAGAAAGTTCAAATTTTTTAAAAATATTTTAACTATTTTTTATAATTTGAATGCTGCCTATTTTTATTCACCCTCTTTAGTTAAATAATTTTTATTTAGAATCTATTTCACCAAATTCATTATTTACACTTCAGAAGTCATCAGAATTAGCCACCTCACACGATGAAACCTCACAACTTTATGGTGTTACATTTGGATCACTAGCTGGACTTGACATTAAAAATGCAAAGCGAACAGGTATATAAAGGAGGGTAAATCATGCCGAAAAAATTACTGGATCACCATATAAATCTCAGCTAGAGGAATCTTTAAACTTGAAATATAAGAACAGACAGCCACGTAAAAAGTGCATTAAAAAAAGTATATCTACTCATCAAAAGACGTGTTTGAAAAACCTTGATGCTAAAGGTGTGATTAATAAACAATTTTGTGCAAAGTGTCAATACAGCTATGGTGATCCTGTCGATCCTTTTTTAAAAGATAATTGGGACAAATGCCTTAAATGCTGTAGATGGTGGCATGAAACATGTGCTGCTATATGTGGTGTTATACTATGGTGGTATACTAATATGTGGTGTTATACTATGGTGGTATACTAAAAAAGTATTTACTTGTGATGACTGTACTGATTCTTAAAAAAAAAGTTATATGTCATATATTGATAAAATGTGTTTTAACTTTCTTAAATAAATCTCTTGTTAAAAAAATTTCCTTTGAGTTTTTTTTGTTTTTTTTTTTAAGTTTAACTATTGAAGTTATGTAAAATATTATTTTATGAACTACTTATGAGCTTTTAAACATAAATTCTTATTTAAACAGAATTTAGAAATAATCATCGAAATCGTAGAAATTAGTAATCGTTTCAATAACAATTATACTTTGGAAGCACATTTATATTTAATAAGGTTTCTGTTTTGGGTGACATTCATACCTTAATAAAAAAGGTGACATTCATACTTTAAAAATACATGACATTCATACTTTAATAAAATAAATAGGTGGTTCAAAAATTATTATTTTTTGCAACTGAAACGCCCTTAATTAAGTGCCAATTAGGTGTAACAAATTCTATTTAAGAGACAATGCTTTATACAATCCAGATTTATAGCTGTTTATAATATTTTAAATATATAAATGCGTTTTCAACAAACTTCTTAATTTTCGTAACTATGCCGAATTTACCGTACCATAGTGCCGAAAATACCATACTAGGTCGCTAATTTCGTCATTTTTGAGTATTTTGTAAAACAGGTTTTACGTAAAACTTTGTATGTTGGAAACAATTTTTTAACTATTATTTAATAGATATATCTGCTGTGCATCGATATGCATGATTTTTTAACATTATTAAAGCAACCGTTGTCTATAAACAGCAAAATAGCTTAATACGCCGAAATTACCCTACTTTACCCTATATATATATATTTGTTAACTAAATTTTTATATAATTCTATTCAGAAAAAAATTCTCTTCAACATGATTGAAAAATATTTGAAGATAGTTTCTTCAATAACTAATTAAGAGCAAAAGAATAAATGTTTTATAACTATTTCATTATATCATCTATTATACATTGTTGCGTTATCGAATATCCAATCAAGAGATTACAAAAACTGACATTTTTTATTATTGGCTAGGTTTTTTAAGATATAGCAAAAAAAAATTTATTTATTATTATTATTATTTTTTTTGTTAATTTAGTTTTGTCTGCATTTTCTAGATTTATTTTTTACTCGCGGTTAATTGTAAAAACAAACAAACAAAAAAATAAAATACTAACACGTAAATCCCACACAAACTAAGTCCTGCCCACAAATAACTTTTTACCACCTCCATTGTTTTGACCTTCTTATTTAATACTTCTTTTAAAAAATTAAAAATAGTTGAATAAAAAAATCTTGTTTATGAATTGTTAATTATCTCCATGGAATCGACTAGAGATGCTCCTCCCGTTTTGTCTGAGCTCTCTCTTATCTAATACACGAATCTCGTAATAAATATGATTATATATATATATATATATATATATATATATATATATATATATATATATATATATATATATATATATATATATATATATATATATATATATATATATATATATATACATACATATATATATATATATACATATATATATATATATATATATATATATATATATATATATATATATATATATATATATATATATATATATATATATATATATATATATATATATATATATATATATATATACATGTATTGACTTTAATAAGAAAAAAAAATAGAAGAATTTCATGACCAAAAAATCAGTAAAGCTTAATGAAAATTTCAGAAAAGTTTATTTTGAATTTAAATAAAAAATTAAAATAAAAATAAAATAGGAAATATTAATTTAATTAAGAACTTTTTTCTGCAAAGAACGATTTGAATAAATATTAAAAAAATCTGTGATTGCCGCAATAATTTATTTAATAATTTAAAGTAAAATGACCCTTGAAAAACTAAACTAAAGGGAAATATAACGTAATAAATTTTATATAAACAAAATATTGATAAAAACAATCATTTAATTGAATTTATATATTTGAATGTGGTTTCATTAAAATATATTGTCAACAACTATTTCTTGACGCCATATTGGTAAAAGAGATGAGTTTCACTTATAATCAACTATTTGTCATCGTAATCGCCAAAAAAATCTTTCAAACTTTTTTTAAAACAAAAACATATTTATCGGATGGAAATTATTTTTTAAGTAAGATTTGATTTATGTATAGATACAGAAAAGTTCTGTTAACAATTATTTGTTTTGATAACTTTCATTTAAAAAAAGTTTAAAATAAAACTTTTATGATTTTTACCATTTTTATGCTTTGGATAAATCATTCTTAGTTTATAAATCATTTTTAGTTTATAAAAGGTAAGACTATTTAAATAAGTTTTTATAAATATCTGTAATTAGATAAATCTTTGTAAATATTTTTTTCGATGAAAAATATACTTACAAAGATTTTTTATATATACTTTTTTTTATTTGGTACACATTTAAAATGCTTTTTAAAATTTTTATTGCAATTAAAAAGTTTTCATACCAGTGTGAAATTCTTTTGATGAAAGTTTTTCATTAAAAAAATTTCACGCTGGTATGAAAACTTTTTAATTGCAATCGAAATTATAAAATTGTTTTTAAATGAGTACAAAATTATAAAAGTATAAATTAAATTAAAAAAAAGATGTATATATGTATATGTATATATATATATATATATATATATATATATATATATATATATATATATATATATATATATATATATATATATATATATATTATATTATATATATATATATATATATATATATATATATATATATATATATATATATATATATATATATATATATATATATATATATATATATATATATATACATATATGAGATGTATGTATATCATCTCAAGATGAATTTAAAATGAGATCTTGATATGGTTTATATGAAATTTAAAAGATTAATTTTCTATCATTTTTCCTTGATCATAATCTATATATCATTACTGCCACTATCACACCATGAACATTATTTCATATCCTTAACAATCACGATAATAACGCAAAGATACGCATAATTGATAATTTAGTGAATTATTAATGTAGTTATTGTACATTGATTGTATTACTAATTCCATGATGGTATTTGTGTTGTAGAGTTTATGTAGCAATCATGTTTATAGTTTGTCAGGGTGCCTGTAATGCAACTGTATTATAAGCATGACGCTGAATTTGATTATAAACGTTAAACTGTGACATAAAAACGACCGCCATTTCGTAAATGCAATATAATTTTGTAAACCTAGCCAGTGCCGTGGTTAGAGGCTCTTAACCTAATCAACACTCGATTATGTAAAAAATGATTTTAAAAGAAAAGAAACGTTATTGTCAACGTTAAACGTTGATAAATACTCACAACATTAATAAATATTCATGTCATGACTTTAAAATAAATATATTGGCTATCTAAATTCGCTGCCCCCCTCCCCCGAATAGGGTGTGTGGGTATGTTTATATGTTTTTACATTTTGTTAAATACATTTTAAAGAACGTATAGCTACTGTATTATTAAAAAATTAATAAAATTGTAATAAATATATTCAAGATTACACTAATTCAAGCGGTGTTAATGATTGCCGTTTTTTATACAAAGATTTGAAATTTTAATGAAGATGTAAATGTGTTTTTTTTTTCATTAACTTAATGGTACTTTTGTTTATTTTTCTTCAATATGTCCGGCCAGACGACATGCGGAAGTTTAAAAGGAAACATCGATTAACTATTTTGTTTATTCTAGTTTGAATTTCTTTTGTATTTTTGTTTGATGTCTTTAATGTTCCGGTGTGTACTTTTTTGTCTAAAATACTTATGCTAGACTTTTGTAAAACCTCATTTTACAATAAGGTTTTTTTTTACACAATATATTTATAATATATAGTTATCATCATATATTGTAATATATCATTTAATATGATATAAAACATATATATATATATATATATATATATATATATATATATATATATATATATATATATATATATATATATATATATATATATATATATATATATATATATATATATATATATATATATATATATAATATAATATACGTAATGAATAACCAAAGGCAAATTAACTTTAAAAAAATTAAAATTAAGTTAATAATATTATATTTTGTTTAAAGTTTGTCCGTTTATTTATACGCATATTTATAAGTTTATAACTTAATAATGTTATTTTTAGACGTCAGTAATGCTTTTTTTTTTAATTTTGATAAGATCTTCAATTATCTGATAAGTGTTTATGCGGACTCCAGTGTGCGGACTCCAGTGCGTGTGTGCGGACTCCAGTGTAGTTTAATTAGTTAACTTGAACAAAAGAATATAAAAAAATTTGAAATGAAGAACTGAAAAAAAAAAAAAAAAAAATAACCACAAAAATAAAGCAAACAAATCAATCTAACAACAATGAAGGAAACAGATTTTTTTTGATATTTTAACATATTTTATACATAGTTAAGATAACATTTAAAACGTTGACTATTTATTGAGATACGGATTATGTTTTGTTTATATTTAATATTTTCATTGAATGAAGTACAACGAAAAAGCGTGAGTTGTTTATAAGTCTATTTTTTATTAACTTCTATAATGTACAGTATGAATCCTCATTTGCATGGATATTTTCTGCTCCTCAAGGAAAAATAATAATATATTCCAAAACAAAAGATGCGCAGTGGCATTCTAAAAGCAAATCAATTTTGCTTATTTAAGTGTACCATTGATGTATCAACTATGCAAGAATTAGGTCAGAATATATTAACGTATAACAAAATATTTTAACACGTAATTATTGAATGGATAGTATCTTCATTATAATGAAATAGGTTTTGTATTTTTTGAAGTAGAATCTCTTGAGTTGTATGTTTAACATATCGTGCAACATATCGTGCAACTAATTGTGCATTAGGTCTAGTAAATTTTAGTCAGGGGGTTGACGTTTAAAAAAACAAACTATATTTTAGTTTTGCTTAACTTTGCTGCTATTCGTTGGTATGAATTTTGATTTTTTGAGTTTTTAAACAGTTGATGTGACCACAACAGATTAAGAATAAAAATCTTTATCATCTAACCTTCGAATGTACTTTTAAAATTTGTAAAATAGTATATATTTTATGTAAAATGTATTATGACAATTTAAATAAATTTAATGTAACATTAAAATATTTCAAATTACGATTATATATTTTATATATATAAAAAAACCTATATAAAACAGCTTGTTGATGTTAGGAAACTCAATCGATTTATGGTCATATTTTTTTATATTTGAATTAATTTTGGCGCCTAGTTGATTAATGCGTTAAAATGTGTTGCGATATTTAATATTCTGATGTACAGAAAAACTCCGCTTAAACCGTTTGGTTGCCGTATACAGAATTTTAATACGCATTTGGATAACGTAAACACAATATAGTGTTTCTTCAAAAAGGGATTTTAATTATGGGATTTTCATATGTATGATTTTATAACGATTTTTTTATTTAGATATCCTGAGTAGAAAACTAGTGAGAAAAAAATGAATTTTAACAATTTCACTTTTATGTTATTTGTTTGGATGTGTTTAACATTTGACCTTTACAATTTACTTGACTCAAAATCTGCGGATGATTACGACAACGCGAAAATTCAAAACAAAAACGAAGACTTAAAAAATGAAGAAAGTTTTACTTCTCGCATCAATGAAATACTTAAGGCCTACTATAACCGTTGGAAAACTGAGAATGCATTAGAATACAAAACAAATTTTGATGTTGTCGAATACGAAGATGATTCTTTAAATAAAAAAGAAAACAAAATCATACAAAGAGAGTTAAGAGTATGCACGCAAGCTTTTTTGCAATCATTGCTCAAGCACTTGTGCGTTTTTCCAAATCCAGTGGCAAAGTTAATTAAAAAAGGTATGTTTATTGGCATTTTATATATATATATATATATATATATATATATATAATTACTTATAAAGTCTAAATTAGAAAAGCTGAATTTCAAATATTATTAAATTAATTTTATTTCATATTAGTACTTTTAAATGACAAAGGGGTTAATAAATTAATCTTAAAAAGATACACTGCTTAAGGTCTGGTTAAACAAAGTTTTTTTGTATCAAAATGGTTTTATTCGAGTTAATCTTTACCATAATGTTGTCATTATAATCATTGTAAAATTAGAGTAGTATATTCATAATCAAATTACAAAGTCTGTCATAATCAATTCATTCTGGATGAAAAATATATTTAGCATTCCGAACTTAATCAAATTTTGTTTATTTCATCAAAAGTATTAATTTTTGTTCAAATTTATTGGTAGATTAGTAAAAATTAGTGTAAATTAGAAAACTTAAGTTATGTTATTTAAAATAATATTTAGTATATTTGAAATTTAAATAGTTTTTTTTTCATCAAAACTGAACCTCAAAATAAAATATGACGTTTTTCAAAATTCAAATGAAAAAATACTTATTTGGAAACTCATGATAAAGAAAAAGTAGAGTATTTAAAAAAAAAATAAAAAAAAAAAAAAAAAAAAAAAAAAAAAAAAAAAAATAACAACAATAAATAACAACAATAAATAAATAACAAAAATAACACACTCACACAAAATTTGCTCTTAAAGAACTTTTTTTTCTCTCAGCGGGAATGATAAATTGTCTCATATATTTTGTTAAACAACAGCGGGGCGTCTATATACACTAAAACACTAAAACACTAAAACAGCATGCATAAAATATAAATAAAAAGTTGTAAATATAAAGAAAAAGTTGTAAATATAAAGATAACCAAATAAACGTAAAAATATGGGTTATAAAAAGCAGATAAAAACGTAAAATTATTATGTAATCAAAAAAATAAAATTATAGTTCGGATCTAAAATAATCCTGATGATTTGAAAATATCTTACAAGCAAATAGACGGCACAAAAATGGTCCAAATCATTTTAATTATTTAAAAATTTTAATTACCATTTGATGCAAATTTACTTAAAAATTTATGAAAAAACTTTAAAAAACCAATTTTTCATGCCGCTGAAATTTTTCAATATGTTTAAGAATAAGACCAATATGTTTAAGAATAAATATAAGAATAATAAGACAATATAATTTAGAATAAGTACTGTAGTGAAACGCGGGGCAAGATGACGAACGTTTCAGAAAATGCCTATATCTTAGTCAATAACTGTCCAAAGAATAAAAGCTTGATTTAGAAGTGATAAAAAATCATTCCGCGTCACTAATGTATCAAAAAACCATTCTCAAAGTTAAAAATAACTGAGGAAAAACTCATTAACCGATGTTAATCGTCATCTTGCAAGATGACTATTTGAGTTAACAAAGTTTAAAGTTTAAAAAAAAGAAACTCTATGAAGCTATAAACGCCTCCAAAACCATCATCACAAATTCTTACTTAAAAAAAAGTAATAGAAAAAAAGGTGTAATTTTTAAAACTAATAAGTTGTTTATTTATATCGGACTATGCAAAAACAACTAGTCAAGACCGGCGCGATGGGGGAGGGTGTGGGGGTGTGACACCCCCCTCCCATCAATGATTTTAGTCGGCAAATTTGACCCTTTTTGACTAGTTAGTCGGCAAATGTAGACCCTTTTGACAGGTTAGTCGGTAAATTTAGAAGTCAGTCGGCAAATGTCCTAATGGCATTCGGCAAATTTTGAAAAACGAAGACCTTTTTTTTTTAGTCGGCAAAAGTTGTAATAGCACCCCGATCCCCACCACCACGTGACACCTACTCGAGCCGGCCCTGAACGCAGTAATCAGTTTGTAGCAAACTCCAACGCAACAAAATAAAACTGTAGTCAAACAAAATATTGTATTTCGTAATAAAATAATGACTAAACAATACAAGAATATCAAACAGTACAAGTAAACTACCGTTTAACATAGATGACGGAAAAGTCATCATGCCCCAGGCTAATACAATCTTAAAAATGAATCAGAACTATACATAATCAAGTTATCATAGCCTAATACTTCTTGAATGGCTTTCAGATTAATCAAACTAAATGGAAATTTCTTGCTTACCTTTAAGCTGGTGGTGTAACGATGAAATAAATCAAATCAAATGAGAATTAAAAATTTTCTTAATGTCGAAAAAGCCTTTTTAATACTTAACTGTCGTCACAAAAATAATATTTAAAAAAAGCATTAATAAATTTAGTAAATATAATCTACTTCCCTTTCAGCTAAAGTCAGCTGTTATATTTAGTTTTGCTTAAGAAATAATGGTAGGTCGTCATCTTACCCCATTTGTCATGTTTCCTAGTTAAAAAATTAAAAGAATTAAATAAATTTACAATAATATTTGTATTAATCTAGACTTAACCAAAGCCAGAGGATTTGCATTAATCCAGACTCAACAAAAGCTAGAAAATATGTTAACTCTATTAGAAATGAAGCATTAACAAATAGCAATATATATTTAAAAACAGTTAGATATGGTATAGAATACAACGGAGTTGCATAATATACAATCTAAATGGCAAGTATTGAAATTGACATAAACTTAAAACAAAGTAAAATCTTAATTAATGCAACCTCTTTAGATAAAAAGTGTGATTTGATAAAAGTTATTAAAACATTTGATTATCAAGTTAACAACTCGTTTCGAGGTATTTATGGGTATAGTTTATTTGTAAAGATCACCAAGATGGCAGCCAGATGGTGATTTAACCATCTACAGACGCATTGAATTTCTTTGAAGAAAATTCTATAAAACTATATAAAAAAAACTCTATAAAAGTTTATCTAAATCTTTGGATATCTATAAAAATCTTGAATATCTAAAACTTTATATATTTGGAACTTGCATTATAAAATACTATAAAAATCAATAATAATAGCATAAGTTGCAGTAACCAAATAATGCTAACTTAATATTTTTCCATTGAAAATTGTTTCTAACTCCTTAATTGGAAATTAATTGGAAATTAATTGGAAAGTCCAATAATAACTTTTCAGTAGTTTAAGTAATTTTAAATATTATTTAATAATGTATTTTGAATAACTATATATTGATTTAATGCTGGCTTTAAGTCTTTTAATCAGACAGCTAATAATAACGATGCGGGATGTAAACCATAAGATATACGTACAAAGTTAATTCTGTTTTAATTTAGTCTCCGCCCGGTGAGAAATTAGCTAGGGGCTAGCTATCGATATTTGTAACAATAAAGATGGCGATTTTACCACGAGGATTGTTATTTTAAAAAGTAAGCAATCTGCCGATTGGCCAAAACTGAAAAAATTTACATTGTATTATTAAATTACTTATTCATATTTATGTAAAATTTACTTTTATTATCTCCTTTAATCTTCGTAAACTAAACCAACACGATGTGCATTACTCTTATTAAAACCAGATCAAATTTTTTTAATTTTTGGCTTGTGATTATATATATTATTATTTTAGTAGTTTTATTTGAAAAAAACCACGTCAATAATTACAAATCTACGATATGCAGCAATCAAGTAGATACAAACTTGTCTTTATGTATATTCATACCGCTAATGTATACACATATACTTATCGATATGTGTATACATCCTACTATAGTGATAGGTGGCTACAGCCACATAGTAGCTATAGAATTGTTGTTACGCAGTAGCTAGCTCAAAGTTACAATATGTAGCCACCAACTAGCTCCTCTTGTAGTGACTACAGCCACCAACTAGCTCTAGATTTGTTGTTATGTTGTAGCTAGCTAATTACCTATGATAGCTCTCGAAACATCGTAATAATATTGCTAACTAAAAAGCTTTGATAGCTATCTCATCGACTAGCTTCAAGTTTGCTGTTATGTTGTGGCTAACTTCAATGCGACAATAAAAGTTAACGGTATATAGTAGTAATATTGATTGAGCTGCAATATCTAGATTAGGACATGTCGTAATAAAGTCGCTGTGTTACAAGTTCAATTGTTATCATAAATATGTTAGATCAAATACTAAAAATCAAAATTTCTAAACATGTTAAAGACAAAATGAAACAAAGTGAGAAAAAAATTGCTCGAACATCCCTATAATGCTGGCTAAGTGTTAGCTTCACACCGGGCTAATACTGATTTACTAAACATACTATGCTTGAACTCAATAGCTATCAACAAATTCAAAGTTGATAAAATTATTGACTGAATACTGAAAACTGAGTTGTTTGTGGATCATTTTTGTGCTTTCTGCAGAAGTTTTTAACTTGTCGAGACTAAAACGCTCGTCCTAGATTTAATAAATTTAGTATTTAGCCATTAATTTAAAAAGAAAATTCTTTAATTGTTTAGCTATTTTAAAATTGTTAAGCACACTGTGTTTTACTAATAACGAGGAGGATAAAACCAATATTTCTTCAAATGTTGGTATCAGAATCTAGAAGTTCAATTGCCTACTTTCAGCAAAGCTGACGATAGTTCAGTATGGAACTCTTTTTTGCATCAATTGACTTATGCTTTTTGCATGCATCATTTGTTATCTAAAATATGTGTTGCGGTAATATCTTTGTAACTAATACATAATTGACATTCCATCTACGCAAGAATCTCAAGTATCTAGTCAAGTATCACACTATCTACACATATTTTATCATCCCCAAATGTAAGGATAGAAAGAAATATTTCTTTTTTTGATTAAATAAAGTTTATTAAATAGCCTATAAAATTTTTATTTGATTTGTAGATATATAAATACAGTCCAAAATAAAGGCACACAAAAAAAGGAGAACGAAAAAGTAATAAATAAACAGATAATATACGATTTGTATATTTCTATTTGGTCAATTGTAAACAATTGCATTATAATTTCCTCGGACATTATTTCCGCACTAAGGAATTCTAGTGTTAATGTATATAAAAGTTGAGGCGTTAAACTTAGTAGGTTTATACAAAAGAAACAACATA